ACTCTTTCAACCAAACAAAAGCAGCAGCTTCTGAAAACAGAAGAGAAAAAAACATACACCTAAGGGTCTGTTTCTTTTTGATATTAATTCTGGCTCCCTGCCCAGTACTAGAAGATGCCACAATATAAACTGTTGCTGGTTTCTCCCACTTGTCCTGAAAAACATGCAAGTGCACCACAGAAGTTAACACAAGCAAACCAGCAGAAATATAGAAGACCTGTGAAATTGAGCTGGTATTAGTGCAAAGTGTTAACTACCCTAAGGAAGTTAGGTACTAGGCACAAGCATGGAGATAGGGCTCCAGGAAGCAATGCTGTGTATTTCCAAGCTATCACATGTGAAGCTCTGCATAGGATACAGACCCCAGACTGATGTCAAGGAAGGGTTCAGCACCTTGCTAGAAATCCAACAATATCCCTCCTCTTCTCACATGCCTCCAAAGATCCAGACTGCTCCAGAAGGAATGTCCTTTAACTGCTAATCAAGTGGTTTGCATTTGGTTCTGAATAACAATAGCTTGGCTATGAATTTAGTAATTCCTAAACGTCTTAAGGGTTGTAGCTCAGGTTACTACAAACCATCTCAATCTGCAATAAGATCATGTGGATGAGAAGTCAAAAGGAACAGCTGTTGCACTTGCTCATCTCCCAAGTTATAATCGTGTGGAAAATGAAAACACTTAGGTTAATTTTGTTGCTAGAAAGATTACCAATACTGGTTACAAAAGCTGAAAAGTAGCACTATTCCAAAGAGTCACTCTCCAAAACAAGAGAAGCTCCAGAGGCTTAGAGGACAGATGCTCAGATGCTGAACGCTGCTGTATAAAACTGTGTATCTGAGTTAGCAATGCACCAGCCCAGTAACCAGAGAGCTCATTAGGGTGAGGGTTCTCAGCAGAGCCAAGCCAGCTCACCACAAACAAGAGAAGGTTCTGCACTACCTCCTCGTTTCCCTTTTTCCCTACCCCAGGTTTGCTTCTCTCCTCACACACATTCCTTCTTGCCACCTGCTTACAGACATGCCTCTTCCCCTCGTACCTGCTCCCAGGTTTTTCCAGTCCTCAAAATTGCAAACCCGACTAGAAAAAAAGTTTAGTTTTCCTCATCAGGTTAATTTTCTGACATTTTAGTTAGATTAGCTCATCATGAGATCACATCCCTAGAGTTGCCTTTCTTCCCATCCCACCTGTTTGTGCCTTTTATTAGTACCAGGGCTGCAAACTCCTGGGTCTTAAAACAAGGCTCAGGGAGTTGAAGTAAGAAACTCATTAAATTGACTTAACTATCACAGCAATGAAGCCTCATATTATGCTTCAATCCAGCAACTCTAGCGCTTTGGAAGATTCATGTCTGACAAGGACAAACAACATCAATTCTCCATTC